TCGGCTGCAAAACACAAACAGGCATGCATGCACACACCGCACTGGCTCGGCCGTCCCTCCCGGGGAGGCATGCCTCTTGCAAGCCGGGGCTTGCTGCCTGCCACGTTGGGCCTCGCCGCTGGAACTCCAAGCCCTTTGTAACCGAGACGCGGCCGCCCAAGGTCCCCTCCCCTTCATAAATACACGCTGCTGATATACAGCGCGCTTTTTGATCCCGGGGCCAGAGGCGACAAGCAAGGCTAGGGCTGGAGCACTGGCGACTTGCAGAGAAGTAACTGCTGACTGTGAAACACACACACACACCCGCACGTATCCCTCCCGCCAACCTTAAACCTGTTGGCACCTTAGAGGCACAGATTTCCTGGGCTGGACCACTAGGGTGTGGAGATGAGCATCCTATTTGCACTCAGGCTGGCCATGTCACAGCCACTGCCAGGCTGGACTACTGTAACATGCTTTATGTGGGGCTACCCTTGAAGACTACCCAGCACCTTTGCCTGGTGTAAATACGCTGGGATTCATTTACTAATAGGAATGGGCCAGGATACACGTATGATACCAAGCGTAAGAATACTGTCCTGTATTCCTGTTTGTTTCTCAGTTCAATCCAGGAAGTTGGTTATTACTGAAACAGGACTTCACGGAGCCTGGGACCCTCGTTTCTGCAAGATCACCTCTCCCAGGACCCTCTTGTGCCACCACCTGGCTCCTTGGGCCAAGGCTTGCTTCAGACTCCCAACTTGTGGCATCATCCAGCCACTGGAGCTTTTTCCAGTATGGTGCCTGCATTGCCCTTGTTTTATTTAGAGTCCATCTTTCTCACTGGGGCCTAAGGCAGACTGGGTTTGATCAACTTTTTTAGTCAGTCAGTCAGTGATACAGGATAACATTTGAATGTAACAGCAAAGGTTCCTAGTATGACAAAAATATATATATAGTCAAGCTGGGATTGCAGAACGAGGGGGGGGGGGACCCAAACAACACATACAAACACACAGGGCTATTTTGGGGCAGGAACGCACAGGAACGGAGTTCCGGCTGGCTCCCGAGTTGGCCACACCCAGCAGGAACTCATTAGCATAACAGGCCACACCCAATAGCAGAAACCCATTAGGATTGGCTACAGTAGGGGTTTGTGGCCTAACATGCAAAGGAGTTCTATGTTAAAACAACAAGACAATCTGGACTTTTTTTGTATTTTTCATATGTGCATGTGTGAGTCTGCATGCCCCTGGAAGCCATGGCGACCTCTGGTGACTGACCCCTACTGGAGGCCGGTAGAATATTCAGAGAGGTGGCTGAGTAAAGCCTGCCCCCACCTCCCTACTGCTGGTTTTCCAAGGAGGTCTCCCATCCCAGTACTTGCCAGGGTCGACCCTGTTTAGCTTCTGAGATCTGATGAGATCAGGCTTGCCTGGGCTATCTAGGTCAGAGCCAAGACAATTTACATGTATCTGAAGACGTGTGCATGCACATGAAAGGTTATACCCAGAATTAAACTTTGTTGGACTTAAAGGTGCCACTGGACTCAAACTTTGCTCTGTTGCTTCAGACCAACACGGCAACCCACCTGAACCTATCCACATAGGAAATACATCCCTAAGCTGAAATATTACACCACAGCTTCCCTCCTCCTATAAGGACATAAGAGAAGCCAATGTCGGATCCGGCCAATGGCCCATCCAGTCCAACACTCCGTATCACACAGTGGCCAAAAATACCATCAGGAGGTCCACCAGTGGGGCCAGGACACTAGAAGCCCTCCCACTGTTGCCCCCTCCCCCAAGCACCAAGAATACAGAGCAGCACTTGCCCCAGTCCGAGAGTTCCTACCTATACCTTGTGGCTAATAGCCACTGATGGACCTCTGCTCCATATGTTTATCCAGTTCCCTCTATCAGAAACCCTTCTTGAACAATTCATCTTTGCACATTTGGGTGAAACGGCAGAAGTGAGGGGGCCTTCTACCAGCGGCTGTCGAATTACTGGCTTGCAGGGGGTATATTCAGAAGGCTTTGCTCAGATGAGCAGTGTTGGGTGTTACAAGCTGAAAACACTCAGTATATATGGGGTTAAATGTTTGTTTGTGTTGCTCACAGGAAATCACATGTTTCATGTAACCAATGTTAGTTTAGGGCTACAAGCTCGGGGAAAATCCTCCCTGATCTAGGAGTTTGATTGGAGTGATAGTGTCAAAGTGTTTTAGCATTTTATGGCTCCTCTTCCCGTCTTTGTCTGGAGTTCTCAAGGAGAAAGAAAGAGAAGCCATAGCTCTCTTCTAGTCTTGTAGTGTAAGGATGTAGCCATTTAGCTCTGTTGTTATTTTCATCCCAGTTACCCTTCCCTATGCTAGAATGTAGTAAAAACTTTCTGTTTTAATCACACATGGACTCTGAGTCTGAATTATTTTACTCTGGTGATGCTAAGCTATTTTATCTCTGCTAAAACCAATTTTAAAAACCCCAACAAGCAGCTCTGTGAAAGCAGAGCGTGGCAGGAGAGGTGGTCCTGCAGGTATGGAGCCAAGTGCTTTCAAGCCTTTTGTAGGTGTGTAGCACCTGTACAATGAAATGGCCTTGGAGGAGGTTAAGAGAACATCCACGCAGAAGGCATCCCAGCCCTGCTGTAAGGTGGAACCATCTGGGAGAGCCTTGGGAAGTCAGAAGTTGTCCAGACATATATATCAGACCATCATTGACTGCAGTACTGAGTTATCGATATGCAATGTCTTACAAGTGAAGCTGCTGTCTACTGAGTCTGCAAGGTCGCTACTGTCTACTCTGACTGGCAGCGGCTCTCCAGGGTCTTGGGCAGAGGGCCTTCACATCAAACTGGATAGTCCGGGGATTGAACCTTGGACCCTCTGTATGAGGAGCACGTGTTCAGCCACCACCCCATGTTTTCGATAACTTTGCAACCCACCTGGAGTCTCTTTGGGGAGAAAGGCAGGTTAAAATACATTCATGCATGCATACCTTTGTTGGAGGTGACCTTTTTAGTAAGTTTGATTCCATTCCTTTTGGCCTCAAGGGAGGCCAAGGTTTGCTTTACCCCTGCTTTCAGAAAGAGGGGATTTAAAGAATCTTCAATGCTGGACCATAAATTCACTAGTTGAATGCATGCTCGGTAAGCAGAAAACCTCCCATTCAGCCTCCAACATCTTCAACCAAACAATTCCAGGAGGCAGGGCTGCGAAAAACCCCAGGCCACGATCCAGGTTGACAACTACAGTGTGTTCCGCAGAGGGCGGTCTTTGAAGACTGTGGAAACACCAGCCAGGCTAGGCTGCTAAAAGGTATAATTTAAAAGCATGACACCTTGCCAGTCTTAAAAGACCTATACTGGCTGCCTGGTTTGAGACTCCTTTGGGTAGGGAAGGGCGGGGTATAAATCCAGTCCCTTCTCTCCTCCTTCTCTTCTTCCTCTGCAGTGCAGAAGGCTAGGATGTTATTTTTTGTAGAAAAAGCCCAGCAGGAACTCATTATCATAATAGGCCACACCCAACAGCAAGAACTCATTAGCATATTGGGCCACACCCCGACAGCACCGCTCATTAGGCCACACCCCCATGTTACCAGAAGTGTGCTCATCCAGCCACACCCACCTTTCCCTTCTTATTCTATTTACCTTGTTTGTTGTCAAAACCCAGGGCTTTTAAAACTCCTTTGCATGTTAGGCCACACACCCCTAATGTAGCCAATCCTAATGAGTTTCTGCTATTGGGTGTGGCCTATTATGTTAATGAGTTCCTGCTGGGCGTGGCCAACTCTGGAGCCAGCCGGAACTCCGTTCCTGTGCGTTCCTGCCCCAAAATAGCCCTGGTTATCAAGCTCTTAATGATCTAGGACTGGGATCCTCAAAGAAGCACTTCATCCAATGGGAGCCTGCCTGCCAGTTGAGCCTGCCTGCTGTAGGACAGTTGAAACGTGGCTATAGATCAGCCTTCTCTCCCTAGTTGAAGCAGCATGTGATTTTGGATTTGGTTG